TGTTTATTTTACCCTTGTGTTAGTTCATATATCCTTGCTCATATATTTGTAATATCTCATTGATAGGATATATTCATTTGTTCATATTGCCTTATCCTAGCTAATGTATCTTATTGCATTTTATTCTTGCTAGGATATTTTGTTATTAGTTTTAATTGGTATTTAATCGGATTAGATTAGCATAAGACCCTAATCACCCCCCCTCTAGGGTCTAACAATTGGTATCAGAGCTTGGTGCTCTTTGATTTAAGGTCTAACCACCTTGAGTTAAAGATCCAAGTTATCTTATTTGTGCTAATCTAGTTATGATTACATTTGTCTTGCTTGCATATGTTCATATATATATCTTGAATATGAATGTATTTCGTTTAGGCTATGTATCAGAGCTTGGTGCTCTTTGATTTAAGGTCTAACCACCTTGAGTTAAAGATCCAAGTTATCTTATTTGTGCTAATCTAGTTATGATTACATTTGTCTTGCTTGCATATGTTCATATATATATCTTGAATATGAATGTATTTTGTTTAGGCTATAAATCCAATGTTGCTCCTAAATTCATTAATTTTCCCTATGCACAATGGGCTTCTAGATTTAAACTATTTGTTGAATCTAGAAATATTGACTTATGGAAAATTATTGATTGTGCTTATATTGTGCCCACATTGGAGAAATCTAAGTGGAGCAATCATGATAATAAAATGTTTAATATGAACAAGCTTTTGTTAGAATATTTGCTTAATGCCTTTGACTCATCCTTTTCTAACAAATTTGTTCATTTTGATAGTGCTTACAATTTATGGAAATTCATAGAAGCACATCAAGGCAACTTGGAGGAAATCCGACGTAGTTTGGAGGATTGTTCTTCAAGTGAGTGTGGAGCATCATCATGCACACGTCCACTAGGCGATAGCCCTAGTGTGGTAAGCGATTCCGATAATGATTTATCTATTGATGAACTCGCTTGTGCATATGAAAGATTATCTCATGCCTATACAAAATTACAAAATAACTTTATTGATCTTAAAAGCAAGCATGTAGAATTAAAATCCGATCATGAGTTGCTAGTGTCCAAATTTGATGTCATTGTAAAAGAAAATACTATGCTTAAAGAAAACAATGACTTATTAAATTTGGAAAATAAAAAATTGACCTCATCCTTGTCTAGCTTATCTCATGCTAAAGATAATGCCTTTTTAGAAGTAGAAAGCTTTAGAAATAAAATTGATAATCATACATGTTCTACTTCTAGTTCAAATGCATATGTGCCTAATGATGAGTTGAACATTGTTAAAAATCGCATTTCATCTTTAGATTCAACTCTTAAAACATGCATTGTTAATAATAAGAAACTTATGGACTTATGTGCAAAGTCTCGTGTTAATTCCTTTAAATCCAACACTCACTATGCACATATTTATAGCAAAGTTTACAAGTGTTCAATTTGTGGTCGTAAAGGCCACTTATCTAAATTTTGCTATGATGCACATAAATATAAGAATACTAAAGCTCATTGTGCATCTCATCAAGTTTCTTCATCACATACACATGCACATACTCATCATGTTCATCATAAGCATGCTCATGTGTTTAAATGTGATATTTGTGGTCGTTTTGGTCATTTGGCCAAATATTGTTTTGATTTGAAAAATAAGTCTCATTTGCCAAATGTTTCTAGTAGACCACATGTTTACAAATGTAATGTTTGTGGTAGATTTGGCCACTTAGGAAAGTTTTGTTTTGATAATGTTTTACATTTGCAAAAAGCTTCAAATAATTTACCTTTGTTTGCAAATGTTCCACGTGCACCTTTTAATGGTCAACATAAGCAAATGCTTCCTTTCCATTGTACATATTGCAATCGGAATGGTCATTTGAGTAATTTTTGTTATGACCGTGTTCGTGCACCATATGTGCCCAAGAGGGTTCATAACCCTAGGGCTTTGAGCTTGAATGATAGGGGTCATGTCCCTAAACAATCCGGCACCAAGAATTCTTGGGTGCCAAAATGATTTTTAAACCAAGAATTTTAGTGTTTTTATTTTTCTCTTTCTTGGTTTTGAAAAATGCATTTTAAACTTTTATGAAAACAATTTCTTGTATTGGCTAAATTCTTTTGTTTTCATGATCATTGGTTTTGCTTTAATGAGAGGTTTGCATTTATATAACCCTCCGGGTTTATTGGGTGTTTATTCCCAAATCATGTTTACCGGATGCTAGAATGATTATATGGGTTAGAACAAGCTTAAGAGCTTGATATATTAGATTTTTGTGTTGCCTCTCTTGAAATTCTTGTGTTTCTTGTGTTGCCTCTCTTGAAATTCTTTTGACAAAGATTTTGTTTTGATTTGTTCCTTTGAATTCATTATATTTCACTTATATGATGATATTTATGTGTTTGTGCTTATGGATCATCTATTCGTGCCTTATAATGTATTCTATATGTGGTTTGATTAAATTTTTCAAAGAAAAATTCTTTCATTAATCAAACATCGACTTTTTGGATATAAACTTTGATTTATGATTTCTTTTGATGGATTTGTTTTCATTTGAAAACTTTTTTGCATGATTTCATGTTCCTCTTCTTTTGATATTCTATATGTGATTTGATCAAGTTTTACAAAAGAATTTTTTTTTTTGGATCAAACATTGTTTTTTAAACTTAAATCTTGATTTATGATTTTATTAATTACTTTGTTTTCATTTGAAAACTTTTTGCATGATTCTCATGTTCTATCTTTGATTTCATAAATCTATTTTTTATACTATGTCCCTATATCTTTCTATGTGTTATACTCACCCATGCATATTGTTAGGGGGAGCTTTCGCTCTCTTATTCCTTTTGTCCCCTTTTTGATGTTGTCAAAGGGGGAGAAATATTGTGAGTATATCCCTTCTTGTTTATATATGCATGTGTATTATCTTGTATATGTTCATTTCCTTCATGCATATACTTCGTTTTGTAAATTGTTTGTCATCATCAAAAAGGGGGAGATTGTTGGCCTTCTTGTTTTGATGATGTTTAACAAACAATTTATTACTAATGTTGTTTGTCTAGTGTTTGTGCATTCCTATGTTTTATAGACAAACAACGTCGTTGGAGGATGGATGGAATAGAGCTTCAACGATCATATCCAAAGGAGGTTGGCGGAATGTCGGTGAAGCCTTGCTATTCAAAGTTCAAGATCCAAGTTCAAGCTTCATCCGCGAGATTACCAAGTCAAGCTTATTGAAGATCAAGATCATTGCTTGGGTAATTTAGTTTAGGAATTTATATTATGTGTGTTAGTACTTTAAGCTCAATCATATACACACATACACGTTTTGGTTTTTGTATATATATAGTTATATATATACATATATGTTTTGGTTTGATAGTTTTCAAGTTTTACTATGAAACAAATGAATAGAATTGGAAAATACTATTTTGTTTCATGTTTATATGCCTATATATGATTTCACCTTTAACAAGCTTATATTTAATGAAATCATATTTAGTGTTTTGAATATATTGCATAGAATATGCAAATTTATGAAAATATTGTATTTCTAGATTATAGACTTCATAACAACATGTTATATCTTTTATCAAGTCTATACAATCATTTCATAAGGTTTCAAAATGTTGTTTAAGTCAAAATATCAAAATATCAATTTTCAGGTTTTCATGTTTTGGACTATTTTGTAAAATGATGATATTTTTCATTTGGGAAGTCCTTTTTCGAAACCAGTCGTTGTAGCATGTTTATTATCATGTCTACAATCATTCCCCAAAGTTTTACATTTTTTCATATACATACTCATAGGTTTCATTTTCTATTGTATTTGTGACAATATTGTTTTCTCGGTTTATGGACTTAATAACAATCATATACATATTTTATTAAGTCTATATAATCATTGTGCAAAGTTTCAAAACATGGTTTAGCCTAAATGTCAAAATTCATATGTTTACATTTTCGTGTTTTGGACTATTTTGCAAAATGATGAT